CGCCAGGCGCACCGCACTGGCTGTTGTCTGCTTTCAGACGCCGGCCAGGCCCCGAGCAGGCTGCAACATTGCATGGCCCCTGCCTGGAACCTCACCCAGCCTCCTCCCAGACTTGTCCGCTAAAGAAAACCAGGCTCCTCGCTAAGATACTGGCCAAGGAATTTGTTTAAAATGCACCAGAAACAGGGCAGACTCGCATGCATCTGGTTGTGGGGTTTTTTCGAGCGCTTTGCTGACCCAATTCCCTGTGACCACATTGGCATGTCATAGCAAATGTCGGTGACCTACTTGTAACCAGGGCCAGACGGAGGCATGGGCGAGTCGGGCAGCTGCCCAGAGTGCCAATCAACCTGGGGCCGGGGCCCACACGGCGTCCCTTACAGCTGCCATCAGGTGCCACGTGCCCAGCTCCCGCATCGCCGGTCTGTCCGCATCCCCGACACGGGACCCAACACGGCCCGGTCCATGCGCCAGCAGCGCTAGCTGGGCCGGACTGGGCCATGCTTGCACCGTGCACACGGGGGGCGGGCCTGCGCCCCCTAAGGGGACGGCTTCCCGGCTGATTAGCAGCGTCCCCACAACTAGGGTTTGTGTTTCTATGGGTGATGCCCATTCGTGCAGGCCTTGGTGCACACAGCAACATGTATTCCGTCCAGGGAAGGGAAAAAATCCGCACGCAGGACTAGAAGGTCATTGGTTGCCAGGGAACACAAGGGAGAGGGAGAAGCAGCCACAGAAGATAAAGGAGAAACCGGCAGATGGTGGAGCCTGGTCTAAACTGGTTTTTGCAATTCCCCCTCCTCCCCTCCGGTGGTCGTACTTCTCCACCGTCATTTCCCTATTTGGGTTTTGCATTAAATTTCCCTCGCCTTGGCAGAACAGGTGGTGGGGGAGGGAGGAGGAAGCATGGGATTGTTCCCTGTTTACATAGCTAATGCGGCACGGTGGATCAGCTTCTGTGTCCCCCCCCCCATGCAAAAATCACAGAGAAGGAGAAAGACCCTCCCTTCTTTCCCCTTGCCCACCAGAGCCAGGGGCGGGGGGCAGGCTAGTAGATTTTGTGTGCTCCAGCCCCATAGGGAGACGGCGGGGGGGCTGGCGCACCAGTGTATGCTCCCCAAGGCTGGGGGGGTGCCCTGAGCCTTGGGGGCCGGATTCAGGCAAACGGTCCCAGCCCTGAGGTTCCCCACCCCGGGACTAATCACATTTCCTCTGTATTCATTAGCTGGTCCGCAATTAGAAACATACGCCTGGAAAGGGACTTTTCGAGGGTTCGTCCACTCCCCTGACCTTTCAGCTTTTGAATAAGCGAGACAAAGCAGACACCCCCACCCACTCCCGGCTGCGTCCTCTGACTCCCTGCATTGAAACGCAACAAAGCCCTCGGCTTTGGAGGGGCTTGTTTACCGGGCGGGTGCTGAATGCCAGGCGGCAGACAGGCCTTGCGTTCCCGCCCCCCTTTCAAGTGTTCAATGGGGAGGATTCTGCTCATTCAGGTGGGAAGAAGCAAAAGGGGCCCTACATCTATTTGTGTGCAAAAATCGGTTCTCCCGCCGCCGCTGGCGTTAGCGGCCGTGAGGCCCTGTGCTCTGGGGACCCCATGAAGAAAAAGAACAGCCCTCTTCCTGCCCTCCCGTTTTTCCTTCTTTTGTCTTCCTCCGCCTCCTGCAGCGTAAGTATGAAGAAGTCAATGAAAATAAAGGGAGTTGCTTGATTGTTCGGGGAGCCTGACTTTTCTTTTTTTTCGGAGACCCCTTAAAAATTGCTGCGGGTCTCGGCGAGTCATGTTCTTCCCAAAGACTGTTTGTGCCAAGGGCTGTAGAGTGTCAGAGGGGGAGCCAAGTCTGTCTGTAACCGGAAACCATCAAACAATAATAAATGGTCCAGCAGCAGTTTAGAGATTTACAACACATGCCGAGGGGATCCTGAGCTTCTATGTAAAGTGCTTTGCTCCACCCGCCACGATGTTCTTGGCTGGAGGAAAGTGGTGCTTTCCGGCTTCAAAGCGGCACGTTCCCATAAGGCAGCACATGGGATGCCCTGAAAGTAGGGCAACAGGATGGAGTCTGGAATGGCCTACTGGACAAAACATTTACCTAAGAAGTGCAGAGTGGCTGGTTCAAGTCCTATCCCCCTTTCTACCCACAGAGATAACAGGGGCAAGATTAGTTGCCCCAGAGATTCATCTGCCTCCTGCATCACTAAGGCAGCATAGGGGATGCTGGGTGGTAGATTGAGCTCTGCCTTGGAAGCCTTCCAGCCTGTGTTTGCACCAATCAGGCTACAGCAGTGCTATGATCCCCTATTAAGAGAGATTAAAAAGACTGGGCCTTTTCAGATTAGAAAAGAGGAGACTACAGGGGATAGGATCGAGGTCTATAAAATCATAAGTGCTGTGGAAACAGTGAATAAGGAAAAGTGATTTACTTGTTCCCATAACATAAGAACCGAATGAAATGAATGGGTAGCAGGTTTAACACAAACACAGTCAACCTGTGGAACTCCTTGCCGGAGGATGTGGTGAAGACCTAGATTTTAACAGGGTTCAAAAAAGAGCTAGATAGATTTATGGAGGTAAGGTCCATCATTAGGTATTAGCCAGGCTGGGTAGGAATGATGCCCCTGTCCTCTGTTTGTGGGGAAATGGGTGACAGGGGAGGGATCACGTGAGAATTACCTGTTGTATTTACTCCCTTTGGGGCACATTGGCCACTGTGGGCAGACAGGACACTGGGTGAGATGGACCTTTGGTCTGAGCCAGTCTGGCTGCTCTTATGGTTAATGTATATGTACAATGACCATATTTTCCGCACCAAAAATCGGGACACACGATCTGACAAAGACGTTGGCAGAGTGGTGAGGACTAGGCTGGGGGTGTGGGGTGTCAGTAGGGCCGTGAGTGAGCTGGGGGTGTGGGGTCTCGGCAGGGTGGTGAATACGCAGGCTGGGGGTGGGTGCAGGACCTCAGTACAGGGGTGGAAGGGGAGACATTTGCTTTCCCAGAGTCTAGCCAATGGGAGTAAAGGGGAAAGCCTCCAAGAAGTGTGTCTCTGCGAGGCTGTTTCTCCAGCTGGGGGAAGGAACACGGAGACATGTCTGGCTCGGCTTCTTCCCCGCAAGCCGGATCCCACGGGGAGCCTCTCGGGGCTTTCTCTCCCCGCCGACATATTAGAATGTCCCGGATATTTCAGGCAAAATGCAGGACAATGTAGCACTTTAAAGACTAACAAGATAGTGCTTTATGGGGACAGCGCATTTGAAATCAGGACTGTCCCGGAACATCTAGGACAGGTGGATGGCGGATGTAGATAGGCGATGCACTGTGTAGGGATACAGAAAGGAAGAGATTTTCTGGGTAACGCTGGAGGTGCGATACGCCCTTTACCCACCCCCTACGCTGGCATCTGATCAAGTCCGCGCCGCTTGCTACCTGCCCCGTCGCTCTTGGGGAGCAGAGAAGCTGAGGTCTCGGGGGAGCCTCAATAATGCTGCTTGCTACCTGCCCCATCGCTCTTGGGGAGCAGAGAAGCTGAGGTCTCGGGGGAGCCTCAATATAACTGAGGAGGGGTGGGCCCCCATGAGGTTGCTTAAGAGCAGCTCCCCATGACCTGAGATCCAAGCAGCGATGGGAGAGGGAGAGCAGATCTAAACAGAGTGATTGTGCTGCAGGGAAGTTGGGGCTGGTCTCTTAGCAGCCACAGGAGGAAGGCGGAGGGGGGGCAGGACGAACAAAGGGCCCTTTAAAAACAGAGGAGCCAAAGTGCATTGACCGAGGGAGACTGGCTCATGAGCCTCATGTCTGGAATGCAGCTGAGCTGCAGGGGGTTACCTTTGTCCTCTGGAGAGAGGGAAGGACAGGGGGGACACACTTTCCCCTGCCTTTGATATTCGCATCTCCACATCCAGCCTGACCAAGCTGACTTCCTTAACCCGAGCCCTACAACGGACAGGGAACTCCTCTGGCTGTTCTATATACTGCTCGGATTCTGTACTATCCACTCCAACTCATCGGATGAAGTGGGCTTTGCCCCTGGAAGTTCATGACCTGGTATATTTGTTAGTCTAAGGGGCTACAGGACCACTCACTGTTTTTATATGCACCAATGGTCCTTCTCATGGGGTCTCGCTGTGTGTGGAATAAATTTTGTTCGGTGCGCTGAGGCATGGGCAGGTGGGCACCACCAGTAGAAAAGCATGCTGCTTGGCTGTGGGTGTGTCATGTTCTTGGATTTTAAGGGGAGCAGCCAGATCACTGCTGCACCCCTGGGGGTGGGGAGGGTGTTTGCATCATCAAAGAGGAATGTAGATAAGTGGACAGCCCGATGGAAAACACCAGTTCATTGTGTGTTCTGCTCCACAAAACTCAGACATCGCTCTTATCTTGACTCACTGTCTCTCCGCTTTCGTCCCACATTCCACCTCCCACGGCCAATGCCAACTGGGCCTAGGTCATCCCCGGCACCAGCGACAAAGAGCAAACAAAGAACTTGGGAAACAAAAGGGCAGCTCCTCCAGGCCT